CGTGTCCCCTGCATCGGCAGGCGGACTCTCAACCACTGTGCCACCAGGGAAGCCCGAGAGCCCCTTTTTTAAAGCCAGAGAGTAGCTTGGAAAAGGGCCAGAGGGTGTAATAGAGCCCAAGGTCTTCCCAGGAAGTAAGCTGACTGAGGGCTGCAAGTCACATCTGCCCACAGCCGCCCTTCCTCCCGTCCCCACCCTGATGGGGATCTGGTGACTTGCAGGTGTCCTAATCCTGTTTGGGGCCCTTTTCCCTCACAGTAAGGACTTTCTGTCCTTTCTCTCTGGTTTTTAAGGGGGGAAGAACCGCCACAGAATTGAGAAAAGGGAAGTGTTTGTTCAAAAGAGGGGAAGTGGAAGCTGCTGGTGTTTCATGCTGAGGCCACGAGTGGGATGGTGACTGGCTTTGTAACAGCACAGCCCATGCTTTAAACCATTTGTACTTAGTTTGTCCTGTTTCAGGATGCATGTGGATGGGGACAGAAAGCAAGAGGTGGTGTCCACTGGAATGCAGGGGTATCTGTCTGTCCCCACAGGAGGAGAAATCTGATTCCGTATTCTCTGGGATCTCAGCAACCCCCGGACCCTTAGAAGGAGAGGTCCGCTTGGAGATTGATTGGAGTTAAAATCTCAGTTTTAATTGGGGCTCTTTGTGACGTGGAGGTATTTTGGGCGGGTTTGAGTGAACTGGACTTGTCTGGCACGGACTGCAAGTGGGGAGAGGAGAGGAGACAGGGAGGAGGAGAAGGGTGGGGTCTCTGCTGCCTTCTGACTGGCAGGCACCCTCCTTTCCCTCTGAACTTCCACCCGGGGACACGAGTGCCCACCAGCCCCATTTCACAGGTGGTGAGACTGAGGCTCAGTGAAGGCGGGTACACAGTTGGGAAGTAAGCGGAATCCAGGCCCACTGTCATCCTCTCCAGCGGCTCCCGCGGCTGTTGACCACTTGAACTCCAGCCCAGATGCTCTCCTGTGATGCTGTGGCCCTGGCGGGCGGGCGGGCTGCGGCTGCAGGGAAGGCCCCATGACCAGACTGGAGTGGTGGTTCATACTGCACCCTGACCCCAGGCTCACGGGCCCGGTTCTCACTGAAGCCAGGGATGAGCAGGGAGAACAGTTGACAGGAGCCGTGGAGCAGGAAAGGAGGGTGGGCCGTGGGGCAGTTGTCAGCACGGCAACTGAGAACCAAATGGGAGCTGCCCACGTTCCCCGCCCCCGCGAAACCAGAGAATCCTTTCGTCTTTTTTTTGGCTGTGCCATGCAGCTTGCGGGATACCAGTTCCCGGACCAGGGGTGGCCAGGGATCGAACCCAGGCCCTCGGCAGTGAAAGCGCCAAGAGCTAACCACTGGACCGCCAGGGAATTCTAGAAACCAGAGATCTGTGCAGTCCGGTTGCGTGGAGGGGCCCCACGCTCCACGTGAGCGGCCGGCTAAGCCCGCAGGGGGCCCTGGGGACGCTCCTGTTTGACGCACGGGGAGTGTTCTGCGCGGATGGCCTCTGATTTCCTGAGGACCCTGCCACGTTCCTGACACCTGGACAGGTAGTGGTGAGAGCCTAGGGTGGCGACCCTCCCAGGTGCGATTCTGACGTGCCCGTCAGCCAGGCCTCCCCCTGCCTGGTGGGTCCGGACGCCCCCTTGTGGGGAGCACACTTCCCATCTTGGGGCAGTGTTAAGATGCCGGGGCTAAGTCAGGGTGTCGATATAAAGGAACCCTCTGCTTTGCGTCTCTGCCCAGAAGACTTTTAAAAGAGGCCCCAGACAGCTCTGTCGCCCCTCCTGCCACACGCGGATATGGCAAGACGTTTCCTAACAGTTTGGAGGCTCCTGACACAGGGTCACGTGAGCATCAGCTTCCCCATGAGTCACTGAAAATGGGAGGGTTAAGCATTCTGAGCAGGAAGTCACTGGGGAGAGGGCACCTGATCGGAAACAGAGCATTTGGGGGCTCATCAGAACAAGTGTTCTTTCAGGTGGGTGGCTCCGGGTCTTTGGTAGCACCAGCTATTATTTTTCCTTTAAAAAACCCACAAATATAACATACTCATTTAAAAAAAATATATATATATATATGTAACATGCTCATTTTAAAAATAAGCCGGCTATATAGTGAAAATCAGCAGTTTCTTGGGACTTGTGTATGTTTTTCTCAATGTTTTGCACGAATGACAGGGATAAACATGTACGTTGAGCCCTTGATGGGCTCACACTTGCCATGACTCACCTGCTGCTTTGCTCCCCTTCACTTACTGTCTGTTTTGGTCTTTTTTATCAGTACAGTGTGATTCACTTCAACTAGTTCATTTCTTAATGGCTGCTTTTGTATTCTATTATTTAAGCATTTACCACAGCTGTTACAGTTAATGTTATTAGATGCTTTCTTTCCGGTCTTTTGCGAACACCAAGAATGTTTAGTGAACACCCGTATACCGGTGTCTTTCGTCTTGAGGCTTGTGGGATACATTTCTAAATGTCAAACTGCTGAGTCAAAGGGCATGCAGTTAGACTTGCTAGAGTTTGGGTCATACCTACCGCTGGGTATTCACCAGCGTTAGCGTCTGTTTTCTCTACACGTCTAACCCCAGCTGAAAACTTTCCAACCCTGCCGCCACCTTTGCCAGTCGGGAAGATACATAGCTCTTTGCTGAGCATCTTATAGTATCTGTTGGCCTTCTATAGTTTTTTCTGTACATTTACTGTATATGTCCTCTGGCCATTTTTCTATTATGCTTTTTCTATTCTGATTTTTTGAGTCCTTTGCATATTAGGGAAACAGAGCCCCAAGTATTTGTAAGGACTGGTTTTTGTCCATTTGTCACTTTATATTTTGTTTTTTCTAGAAGAGAGGCTTTATTTTCATGCAATCATTTTCCCCTTTAAGATTCTGTTTTATGTCAATCTTAGGCATTCCTCACGCCAATGTTACATTTTTAAAAGTGCCCTTATTTTCTTCATACAACTTCTGTTTTTATTCAAGATCTTTGTTTCATGTAGCACTTTTTGTATAGTAAAGACTTGAGGGTAAAGATTGAATCTTTTGGGTTTTTTTCCCAAAATGCACAGCCAGTTGTGCAGGCACCATCCACCAAGATGTGCTATTTCCTCCCTCGTAGGATGTGCTTCCAAATGGCCTGTTTAGTTGATGCAGCTCTTCCTGGGCTGGCGTCACCCAGGGTTTATCATACGTTTCCCACCCCAGACCTTCAGGCCTTCATCACTCTTCTTTTCCAGAACCGTCTGGCTATCTTCACACGTGGATTCTTCCAAGTGAATTGTTGCTTAAGCAACAATTAAGTTAGGTTTTCCCTTGAATATAATTCACTGTGTGGAAGGCAGCATGTTCAGTGCTGTCACCTACGTCATCTTCATGTACCCCTCACAAAAACCTGTGACCTGAGGAGGTGACCCAGTGACCCTGCTGTTCCAGCCCCTGAGGTCAGGGACAGGAGGTCCCAGCACGCGTGCACATACACACACACACACACACATACTCTCTCTCTCACTCACTCACTCGCTTACTGAGTGGGCATCTCACAAGGCCCTGCAGTGCCGTGGCGCCCAGGTCACATTTCTTGCTCTCATCAGAGCTTCTTGCCTAAGAGTGTGCCTCAGAGGCTGAGCTGGAAGTTGGCAGTCTCCTGACCTGCCCGCCAATCCAAGAGCTAAGGCCTTGGTGGTGATAGGATGGCTTCCCTTCTCGGGAGCCCCGTCTCTGAAAGTGGAAGCAGAGCCCTTGGCTGACTGGAAAAGCCACGGACAGTTCCGGGAGACCTGTGCCACCAGCCAAACCAGCTGTTTTTCCCAGCTCTCGAGACAGCACACGCGGGGCTGGAGGTGGGCTTGTGTTTGCTTGTTTGGTGTCCAGGATGTGGCTCATGAGATTTATCTTCTCTCGCGTTTTTCTTATCCCACTGGTCTTCCACTTGAGACATGATCACGGGGAAAGGCTGTTTATTCCTTGGGAGCACAAACTTGGGAGAAGTCACAAACTTTGTTCCAGGAACCCATGGAGAGGCAGGTTGACCATAGTGGGGAGGGCACTGGATTCGACTTTGCCTGAAGATCCGGGTTTGTCCATTTGTTTGGGATGGACTTGTTGAAACTGCTTGTCGCCTGGGCCCTGGGGTGGGTTCTGACAGATAGCAGAGCGGCCTCGGCCCCGACCTCCCAGCTCACAAGATAGTGGATCCACAGACCATGCAGTGACCAGCATCATTTCAGACTGTGAGCCCTGCCCTGGCCCTGCAGCAGCTCTAGAGACCGGGTGACGTGGTGTCCTGCCAGCATCCAAGGGGGCCTCACGCACACAGCACAGCCCTTTCTTGGCTTTCTCTCTCGTGCCTGCTCCCAGCCACCTGGAGGAGAAGCACACAGTCTGTCTTAGCCATTCAGGCCATTACAACAGAATGCTACAGATGGTGGATTCCAAACAAACTTATTGCTCACAGTTCTGGAGACTGGGAGCGCCAGATCAGAGGCCAGCATCGGCCAGTGAGGACCCCCTGCCTGGTCAGACTTCCCCTGTGTCCTCACATGGAAGAAGGGGGGCCAGGGAGCTCTGTAGGAGCTCTTTCATAATAAGGGCACTAATCCCATTCATGAGGGCTCCACCCTCATGACCTCATCATTCCCCAAAGGCCCCACATCCTAACACCATCACCTTGGGGGGTAGGATTTCAACTTGAATTTGGGGGCGTGGGACACAAACATGAGTCCATTTCACGGTCCTGCATGCTATGGGCAGGGGCTGGGACTTTTGAGACAAGGCCTGAGAGCACATGGTCACCGAGGCTTGAAGGCTGTCTGCTGACACCTCAGTTCCAGAAGAGGAAACTGAGGAGCACAAGGGGGCAGGTGGTAGAGCCAGGACGGAATGGGATCCCTTTGACCACTGGGTTGTTTGTGGCCCCAGAACAGTGCTACCTGAGGTGACACCTTGTGTGTGTCAAGCACTTGAACTGAGGGAAGAAGCATCCTGATGTCTTGTGTCCTTTCCTTTCCAGGTTAATCTAGGATCCAGTTTCCAAAATGTGGCGGCTCCTGGCCACACTCAGCCTGGTGGTGCTGACCAGTGCCTGGAGCGATGTGCATTTCCCGCCTCTGTCGGATGAGCTGGTCAACTTCGTTAACAAGCAGAACACTACGTGGAAGGTGGGCTGGGGGCCCCTTCTGTGTACTCTGACTCCCGAGGGAGGGGCTGCAGCTGTGGCCCGCGGGACAGTGTGTCCTAGACAGTTGATCTGATTCATAGACCTGGCCACTGAGGCCCACGCGCACCGCCCTGTCCCCTTCCCTGGTGTATGTGTTGTCTGTGTGTGAGAGTGTGTGAAGGTGCATGGGGGAAAACCAGCTCTGGAAGAGTTCACCACCGGGTAGACACTGTAACCCCACCGTGGTAGGTGTCACAGCCCATCAGTACCACCAACTCCGTGGTTCTCCCCAGCCCTGAGGCCCGAGGCTACAGGAACAGAGGGATGAGGGATAAGCCGTGTTCAGGGCATTGGAGGCTCTCTGGTGACGTCAGCAAATGGTACAGCTTGGGGGAGATCCCCACTGGTCTGAGAGCTGCCCACTGCCCGTGCGGTCACTCTGGGCCGCTCCCCGCCTGCTTTGCAGATGCCTGTCTTAATCCATTCAGACTGCTGTAACAAAAGCACAGAGGTCAGTGCCTGTAAACCGGAATGTGTTGCTTGCAGTTCTGGAGGCTGGAGGTCCAAGATCAGGGTGTTGGCACGGTCGGGTTCTGGTGGGGGGCCCTCTTCCGGGTTGCAAGTGGCTGACCTCTTGTGCCCTCACTTAGCCTGAGGGGTAAGCTAGCTCTCTGGAGTCTCCTTATAAAAGGGCATGATCCCATTCATGGGGGCTCCACCCTCATGACCTAAGCACCTCCAAAGGCCCCACTTCTTAACACCATCACATTGGGGTTAGGTTGCAACATGAATTTGGGGGGGGGGGACACACATTTGTTCTGTAGCAGTGCCCCAACCCCCTTGCTCTGCGGAGGTGGAGGGGCCCCCGGCCTTGTCAGGGCTTGTGTGGGTGGTGTGCGTGCTCCACCCCGTCTCTGGAAACATCCCCACCCCGCTGCCGCCCCGTGTTGGTGGGTGACTGCTATGGGTGCGGCTGTCTTCCAGGCTGGACACAACTTCTACAACGTGGACCTGAGCTACGTGAAGAAGCTGTGTGGCACCTTCCTGGGCGGGCCCAAGCTGCCCCAGAGGTGAGTGCCCACTACTGGGGAGGACGCACAGCTACACCAGCACCGCTGCCATGGGAGCAGAGATGCTTGGCACAGAGGGAAGGGGGAGGCAAGAAGGCTTCCCTGGCATCTGTAGGCCTCACTGCCCCCAGAGCTGCAAGGACTCTGCCTGAGGTACAGGGGCTAGCCACCGATGCCAGAGTTTACTACGGTGCTTCTCCAGGCGTCCCAGCCGCAGTGGGAAAGGCCCCAGGTCTGGGTCTCCAAGATCTGAATGGACCCAATCTTGAATTTAAGGAAAATCTAAGAAAAGCCATATGATCTGCCGTTAATGTTTTTGTGTTTTTTCTGGAAAAGTCTGCAGTTTCTATTTTCATGTAGATATTACTCTTGAAGGAAGTGTTAGAAAAACCTAACAGTGAGGATGGGATAGTTACGTTATGGGGACCATTACACAGTTGTGAAGGTATTTAAAAAATGATGAACCTGGGCAGATGTTTGATTCGGGGTCGGGTTGGGGAAGCAAGAGATACAGTTATCTGGACCCCGTGGCGAAAACTCTTCAAAAATATCCATAAAATGGGTGTAGAAAGAAACGTACAGAAGAGTAAGTTACGTGGAGCAGTAGAACCTATTTTGTTTTATAAATTCCAAGGGGGGGAATTCCCTGGTGGTCCGGTGGTTAGGACTCCACGCTCTCACTGCTGAGGGCCCGGGTTCGATCCCTGGTTGGGGAACTAAGATCCTGCAAGCTGCACGGCACAGCCCCCCCCCCAAAAAATTGTTTAAATAAATAAAATTCCAAGGGGACACCCTTGCATACGCCCTCCTTTGCATGTCCTTGTGCCTGTCCCCTTCTAGGTGACGGCAGTCAGCTGGCCTTTGCGGGGATAGGAGAGTGGGTTCTAAGGTGACAGCTTGTGACGGAGACCTTCCTTTTTCCAGAGCTGCCTTTGCTGAGGGCATGATCCTGCCTGAAAGCTTCGACGCCCGGGAACAGTGGCCAAACTGCCCGACCATCAGAGAGATCAGAGACCAGGGTTCCTGCGGCTCCTGCTGGGTGAGTACCCTGCTGGCCGGGAGGGCTGGGGCCAGGGGACAGGCTGGGGTGGGAGAGACCAGGGGAGTTGAGGTTAGGCCAGCTGTGACGGGGCAAGTCACAGAAGGTTCCCGAGTCTCAGTCTCCACCAGTATAAAAACAAGAAGGATTCCTAAGGTTGTGAATCATTGCAGGACCAGGCGGAAGAATCAGTACGTGCAGAATGCCCTGTACAGGGTGTGTCCCACGTATGGGTTGTGAAGCAGTTTTTATTTCTGTTTGACACACTGTCCCAGGCCATCAGCAAATACCACTAACTTTGAAGAAGCATCCCATCTGTATCAATGGCTACCTTAATTGTGTTTGGGTAAAATACACGACATAAATTTAACCATCTTAATCATTAAACGTACCACCCAGTGGCATTGGGTCCATTCGGGTTGCTGTGCAGGTATGACCGCCTCTGTCCACAGAGCCCTTCATTGTGCAAAACTGAGACTCTGTCCCCACGAAACACTAACTCCCATTCCCCTCTCCCCAACCCTCAACAACCACTCTTCTGTCTCTTGTGGTTTTTTCTTTTTTTAAATCAGTGAATCAGTGTATTCCAGGGTAACTCGCAGGGTGGGATTGGGATGAGGGGTTGAGTGGGGACGGCAGTCCGGAAGCACGTGCAGTCGCATTCTGCACTGCTGAGGAGCCCCTGGGACATTTTTTTTTTTTTTTTTTTTGGCATGTACGCAGGCCTCTCACTGTTGTGGCCTCTCCCGTTGCGGAGCACAGGCTCCGGACGCGCAGGCTCAGCAGCCATGGCTCATGGGCCCAGCCGCTCCGCGGCATGTGGGATCTTCCCGGACCGGGGCACGAACCCGTGTCCCCTGCATCGGCAGGCAGACTCTCAACCACTGCGCCACCAGGGAAGCCCCTCCCTGGGACAGTTTTATAGCTCACCTGGGGTATGGGGGGTAGGTAGGTGCTTGGAGGGAAAGTACATTCTTAAGATTCATGAATGGGTAACTGGTCTGTTTCGTGGGTACCAGGAATATGTCAGTGAAGGTTTTCATCATTGTTTGGGGACTAACAGAACATAGAGGCTACCAGGTCCTAGTGATTATTAAAATCTAGTAAATACTAAAACCTTTGATGACACAGAAGTGACCGACTGCACCGTGCAGTCCTGGGTAGGGTCAGCAGAAGAATCGGAGGAACTGTAAGGGCCCAAGGGGGAATCGGTCACGCTAACAGCTCTGTGCTCCACCCCTGACTTTTTTTTTTTTTGTCTGTCACTATTTTAACTAGTCTGGGTACCTCATATGTAAGTAGAATCATACAGTACTCGTCCTTTGTACAAGCTATATTTTTATGTCAGAAACCAAAGACCGCATGTTTCAGCAGCGAACTGAATGCCCAGGTAGAGGTTTGGGGTGGACTGGTCTCTTGCTTTAATGCCCAGCTTGAGTACCAGGCCCCTCCGCTGCCGTGGAGAGGGACCAGCCACCAGGAAGGCACGGGGTGCCTGACGTCGCCCCCCGGGTGGAGGCTGGAGGGCCCGCAGTGCAGGATGGGGCTCAGTGTGCCGGTTCTTGCAGGCGTTCGGGGCTGTGGAAGCCATCTCTGACCGGCTCTGCATCCGCAGCAATGGACGCGTCAACGTGGAGGTGTCCGCCGAGGACATGCTGACCTGCTGTGGCGACGAGTGTGGGGACGGGTGAGTGGGAGCCGCCCAGCAGACCCGCGGGTGGGCGCTGGACGGGGGGCTCCCTGCGGGCGGGAGCGCCGCTCCCTCAGGCGGGACGCCTCTGCTGAGACACGATGGGGACCCGGGGCGTCGGGAACCAGGCCGGCCGCGCAGAGCTGGGTGTGGGCCATGGGGGCCAGACACAGCTTCTCCGCACAGGCGGCTTAGCTTCTGGGTTTTGTCGTGCTGGTTCTCTTCCTGCTTGAGGAAATGTAGTGCTCTCTGGGGCCTGTCTCGTTCTCTGTAATTAAGGGTGGTGGGCTCCCAGCTAAGCCACATTAGTAACCAGATCCCTGTCTTCTGCCAGCTCTGCCCTTGCTTCTGCAACAGTGGTTCTCAGATGTGGCTGAGGACTAGCAATACCTGGGAGTTTAAAAAAAAAAAGCCCAGGTCTCACCCCACAGCAATGACATGGGAATCCCTGGCATTGGTGTTCTGTAAGAGCCCCAGGGGATTCTAACGTACTGCCCTTCGAGAACCGCTGTCTAGACAGAAGACAGAGCCTGGTGTGGACGTGATTATGAAAGTACTTCCTGTCTTCTGGGGGCGAGTCCCTGCAAGAAGTGGCTGTCGGGAGGATGAATGGGGCATTTGGGGTCTGGGAGAACTGTTGGGCCAGTTGCCAAAGGCAGTGGTGGTGCACCGGGCTGTGGTCTGGGAGCAGCGAGAACCACTCTCACCGTAAGTTTAACCAGTGGTTCTTTTCTCAGCTGTAATGGCGGCTTCCCCGCTGGAGCCTGGAACTTCTGGACGAAACAAGGCCTGGTGTCCGGGGGCCTCTATAACTCACATGTGGGTGAGTGTCTGCCCTCAGCCCCCATCTGGCCAGATGGATTTTATATGCAGGAATAATAGTGGTCTAATTTTCCCCTATAAAGTAGAGGTTAAGGGTTGAGGGCAGGAATGCTGGGCTGAAAATCCAGGTCGAAAGACAAGGCAGCCTTGTGTATGGCAGAGTTAGCAACAGGACAGCGTCAGTGCCGCAGACTTGAGGGTAACTTCTGTTCCTGCGAGCCATCGCCCCGATTCTTCCCTCTGGCTTCGAGGGGCCTCCTCCTGACACCCACCTTTGTCCTTGGCCCTCCAGGCTGCAGGCCCTACTCCATCCCCCCCTGCGAGCACCACGTGAACGGCTCCCGGCCCCCGTGCACGGGGGAGGGCGACACCCCCAAGTGCAGCAAGATCTGTGAGCCCGGCTACACCCCATCCTACAAAGAAGACAAGCACTTTGGTAAGCGGGGCGGTGCCCCCAGTGCGCCGGCCGGCGGAAGGCAAGGAGGCCAGGGAGGGAGGACCAGGGAGGGAGGACCAGGGCTTTGGGGTCTTAGGTCAGGAATACAGAATGAGCAGCACACTGCATTCTCTGCCCGCTTCCACCCTGAAGTCTGTGGGAATGGTGTCTTAGAACTCCAGCCTTGGAAGGAAGAGACCAAAGCCCTCATTTCATGGGGGAGTCCTTCTGGGTGCCGCCTGCCCTGCTTCCAGGGCCTCAGGCCCCGTGCGACCCTCTGTGGGAGGCGCCCTGCCCCACTTGGCCGGTCCCTTTGCAGGATGCAGTTCCTACAGCGTCTCCGGTAGCGAGAAGGAGATCATGGCGGAGATCTACAAAAACGGCCCAGTCGAGGGGGCCTTCTCCGTGTATTCGGACTTCCTGCTGTACAAGTCTGGTGGGTCTCGACCCCTGGTGGCAGCTGGCGGGGGGGGGGGGGGCGGGGTTCCCAGCTGGCAGGACCCCCTGGCCGCTCCTCGGCTGGCGGTAGAGCTCTCCACAGTGGAACGGCCGGCTCACATAGCTCCTTGGGGAGCCTTTCCATCCCCGCCTCCATTGCTTCCTCATCGCATTCACGTTGGCCCTGGCAGAGTCTAAGCGTCATGCCCAGCGCCCAGCGGATGAGGAAAGAGGGAGCACCTTGTTGTGGGGATTCAAACGGCCGGGGACAGGATGGTCCCCGCCTGAGAGCTTAGAACTCCCCCGTTCCAGACGAACAGTCTGTGCTGAGGGCTTCTGTCTCATTTTATACGCTGCTAGGTTGAAAACTCCAAAGCTCTCCAATCTTACAGAAAAAAAACCAAGGTGCCTGGCAAGAAAAGTTCTTAACACAGTCTCCACCAGTATTATATGAGAGGATGCATTTCCAATTTGACGAAGTGATTCACCAGTGAGGTGGTAGCCTGGGGGTCCTCAGAGCACCTTAGCCAGCATCTTTCTGGGTCATCAGCACTGCCAGCCCAGCCCCTCTCCCACAAAACCTCTGCAGGGTGTGCCCCAGAGCAGCAGTGAAACTAAGCCACGTGGAGTCACTGTATGTAACACAGTTAACTGTTGGTATTTTTATTAGAATTTACAACTTTAGTTTTAAAGGGAACCAACGAACACATTTGATTGGCCTCCATCTTAATATTTACCTCCTGTATTCGAGTGTGTTAGGCTTTCAAAAATAAGTAATTCCAAAATGTTGTGCGAACCCCTGGAGCCTTCTTGTGGAATGCCAGGGCCCGTCCTTTCCTCCGGCCCCGTCCGTCCTGCCCGGGGTGACCAGCCGAGCTGGAGGGGTGCTGTGGCAGATGGGGCGGCTGCCCGGTCTCGGTCTGACCGCTGTCTCCTTTCCCAGGGGTGTACCAGCACGTCACAGGAGAGATGATGGGAGGCCACGCCATCCGCATCCTGGGCTGGGGAGTGGAGAACGGCACCCCCTACTGGCTGGTCGGCAACTCCTGGAACACCGACTGGGGTGACAATGGTGAGCGCAGCCCCTTCCTGCTGAGAGCAGGGCCCCCTGAGCCAGGGCACAGCGGGCGTCCTGTCCTGTTCCGCCAGTTGCGCAGGTGCTGGGGAGCCGGGGGCAGCCTCTGATCGATCCCGGGAGGGTGTGTGCTCGGCCTGGGTCCCCACGACACCAGGTGCAGGGGCCGGATGCGGGGTGAACGGAAGCCGGCAGAGCACCTTGTGGGCCGGCTGGTGACAGCTTTGGGGCTGGTTTGTGACTTCTGTTTCCCCGTTTTTCAGGGGTGGGTCTGGATATGTCGGCAAAAGCCAAGCACTCTCTAAAGGCGTCTTCTGCTCTCTAGGCTTCTTTAAAATCCTCAGAGGAGAGGATCACTGTGGAATCGAATCAGAAATTGTGGCTGGAATCCCATGCACTCGTCAGTACTAGAAGATGTAACCTCCTGTGGGCCTGGCCGCTGGCCCTGGGGCACTTTTTTCCCTAAATACCGCCATTCAGACTGGGGATGAGATGCAGGGGTAGGAATGTCTTTTAGTTTTAGCCAGGGCCTGAAGGACTGGGTCAGGCCAAGCCCCATGTTTGCCATCGGCACTGTCTTCCAAGGAGACGCAGCCAAGGCCAGCCCAGCGGACGGGCTGCTGTCACGGCGCAAGCACGCCGCCTCTCCCGTAAACCAGCTGTGTAGTGCCTGCTGCCCCCGCCTCTGCGTCACCAGGGAGCAAGACAGACCGGAAGGGTTTGTAGTTTCCCAAAGGAGTGGAAAGCAGAGCTCTCCTAGCTAGATGGATTCCCACCCAAGCAGGCGGCTTTCTGGATCCGGAATAGGTTGAGAAGAGATAGATAGTGGGGCAGCCCTTTGGAGAAAGCCACGTTCTCCCAGGGCCCCTGCATCTGTTGAGGTCTGCAGCGCTGCTAACCCTCTCTGGTCTTGTCCTTGGCATGATTCTTAGGTTTTCTGTTGTGTGCTCCTTGGCTGATCAGGTGGATGAGAGTCTGCTGGTTGGGTTGGAAGAGCTGTACTAGTGGTACAGATTGTCTCCCTCAAACTCAGTGGTTGAGATTTCTCTTACCTGCTGCCCTCTGATACCACAGTCTGGGGAGAAGCCGGCTTTTACTGTTTTGAAATCACTGCTTCACCCTGTTAATATAACAAAGAAAGGAATGACTGCCAATAAAATGCCTCTTCTTCAATGTGAAGTCTGCGTTCTGGTGGCATCTCGAAGATTGTTTCTCACTGTCTGTAGACGTTTAGCTGCTGTCTCTCCTTCTCCTCCAGAAGGAATCGTGTTCCCATGGATCTGGGTGCCCTTGAACCTCTAACCAGGGATATCTTGCCTGGGTTGAGTGGAACAAAATAAATACCTAACTTTTTAACTTCACTGCTGCAGCCATACTGTCAAACCACAGCACCTCCTCTCTTCTTACTTTCCTGTCATTCTCATCAACCCTTTTCTATAAATCTACCACCCCACACTGCCCCAAGCCTCAATGAACTCTGTGCCTGCTTAATTAAAGAGGTAAGAACTCTTACCTCTTTTATTTTACCAACTGCACACCAGCAGTGACCTGAGGGTTCCTGCAGGCATGGTGTAACCAGTCCTACTGGAAGACCAGCTTCCCGGGTCGGGGCAGAGCCTGTGTGCAGTGTTATGAGCTCCTGTCTCTTGGGACGCTCGTTAAGATTGCTGCTTTGCATCATCCTAATTCCCCATACACAATGGGAGGACCCCAGTTAGTTCTCCAGGGAACAGGAGACTGTTAGAATCTCCACCTCTACCCGCACCCCGGTCTGTCAACACCCCAAGTCATTTCCCTTCCACAACTGGGAGTGGAACCAGCTCTTCCCAGAAGCACAGGAGGTTTAACTTCTGATGTGCCCCAGAAATTAGGATCAGAACTACCTCAGATACGCTCTTGAACACGTGGTGAACATCATGGCAGGAAAAACTGGTGAAACTCATAGTACTTACAGAATGTTTAACAAGGGTTAAAGCTACAAATTCTTCACTGCAGTATCTGTACAATTTCAGCTAGGATACATTCATAAGCTCAGTGAAGTTCTAACATTTTCTACCCACTCCCAAACTGCGTAATTCTGTTTACTACTTTCTCCCATTCGCACCCCTTACCCACCTGCACCTCCATCCTCACCCGGACGCCAGCAGAGATGCACTAAGTGAACCGAACTGGACCTCGGGGCATCTTCGTGCTTGGCCTAAGGAGTCTTTGTTAGAAAACAGAAAGAAAGCAATGTTTACGATTGGGATTGAGGTCACTACTTCAGTAAACACACTACCCTACTACCACCACCTCATTGCCTCAGTTCAGTAGGTGGGAAGTTTTTCTTGGGTGCCTCCAAACAAGATGACAGAAGTGACAATAGTTTTTCGTTCTTTACATGGAGAAGGGCGTATTTTTGTTCAGATTTAGAAGGGTGAGCAAAGGTAGTCCAACCTTTCCCGTTCCTTTAATAGGTAGCAGAAACTGTACTTTGGAGCCTCAGGAGTGGTCCATGGACCAACAGCATTGCCATCTCCGAGGTTCTTGCAAGAAATGCACAGTTTGGGGACAGACCTGAATCTGCATGTGTGGTTAACCCGGACTCCACTATGGGTTGAGGAACGCCTTAGAGCAGTGGCTCCCAAGCTGGTCTCCTGCCCAGCAACATGTGTGGCACCAGGGGACTTGTTAAAAACATAGGTTTAGGGGCACCTCCCCAGATCCACTGAGAAATCTAGCAATCTGGAACCTTCAAGCAGTTCACTGAAGTTTAAGAACCAGCCTTAGAGCTCTCTTTCCAAAACTAAGAATAACCTAGGGCTTCCCTGGTGGTTAAGAATCCGCCTGCCAATGCAGGGGACACAGGTTCAAGCCCTGGCCCGGGAAGATCCCACATGCCGCGGAACGGCTGGGCCCGTGAGCCACAACTGCTGAGCCTGCGCTCTACAGCCCGTGCCCTGCAACGAGAAGCCACCACAATGAGAAGCCTACACGCAGCAACGAAGACCCAATGCAGCCAAAAATAAAAAGAATAACCTAGAATGCCTGTTAATTAACAAAGTCTAGCCACCCCTCCTCCTCCCCCTACACCCGCGGCCAAAGAGAAGGGGCTTAGTAGATAGAAGAGTGGGGCTTCCAGGTAGTTGTTTCCCAGGGCAGGGTGTGGGTGTGTGTGCAGGTCTCAGCTAGGGCTCCAGAGAAAGTTCCTCAAATGGGGTTAGGCTCTGTTAAGTTTCTTGATTTAAAGCCCTGGATTCAGATGGGTCAGATATTCCTCTGAGGAAAACTTAAAATCTCCCACTGTATGAGTCACGTAGACTATGCCAGGGATGTTGTACATTTAATTACTTACCTTAAAAGTGTGGAGTAGACGGTGGGGTTGCCAGATTCAGCAAGTAAAAATACACGATGCCAGGGCTTCCCTGGTGGCGCAGTGGTTGAGAGTCCGCCTGCCGATGCAGGGGACACGGGTTCGTGCCCTGGTCCGGGAGGGTCCCACATGCTGTGGAGTGGCTGGGCCCCTGAGCCTGCGCGTCCGGAGCCTGTGCTCCGCAACGGGAGAGGCCACAGCAGTGAGAGGCCCGCGTACCGCAAAAAAAAAAAAAAAAAAAATACAGGATGCCAAATCAGATTTGAATTTCAGAAGTCATTTTTTAGTATAAATATGTCCTGTGCAGTATTTGGGACATAATTATACTAAAAAACCATTTTATCCGAAATTCAAGTTTAACTGGGTATCCTGTATTATCTGGCAATTGCAGTAGAGAAAACATTTAGAAGGGAAATGTTCTTCCAAAGGAGTGGGCATGCGAGCTAAGACCTTTATAGCTTTACAGCTGGGAGGGACCTAAAAGATCATACAAACCACCAGAAGCTCAGAAAGCCCCACAGCTGAGCCAGGAGAGAAGCTTCCAACGCATCCACCTCAGACCAAGGCTCTTTCCACCGGGTTGTCCCGTGTCCTACGTGAACTGCAGCAGAATAGATTTCAACACACAAATCTTAACACTTACCTTGGAATCGCAAACCAAGTTTTGATGCTTAAATTACTCACTGCTGAGTCTGGCTTAGAGCTGGGCTCTTAAGTGGTAAGTGACTTTGGCTTCAATGTGGTGACTGGTACATCCAGGACTGAGTCTCAAATGAAACAAAACAGTTCACGGTCAGGCGGCAGCAGCGGCCCACAGGAGAAGAATCTGTGGGTACGTGTGTCACAGTGCAGACCCAACGTTAGTGCTGGAACATAGCTCCTTCAGTGACTAAGTCACACACAGAGAGCTGCAGCAAAAGAGGACTGACTATACACTACACACTAAGAGCACAGCTTCGGGAAAGTACTGTAACGCCCTGCAACAGGGATTCTCGGCCCGAGGGGCTTTTTCAAACACCCCCTCTGAGCTGAGACTCTCAGGGAGTCACTGGGTGGGCACAGCCCAAACCTTGGCGATGCTGGGGGGAAGAGGGAGGTGGACCACCGTGCTGGGGGAACTGGGCTAAGTGCCACTTGGCTTTCAAGCCAATCACCGGAAAACATCTGCCTTTCTTGAGAAACAAACAGAAAAAAACCCCAAAGCTGAAAATACCCTCCGAATGCAATAAAATTTCTGAATGCAGCTAAGAGAATGAGCTAGAAGTAGAGCAGGCTGGCGGAGGTGATGCCCTTGCTCCCTTCCCGGCAGGCACAGCGCAGGGTGGGGAGGCCGGGTCCCTGCTTCCCAGTGGCAGCAGTGGCCACCGTCCCTCAACCAGTAACTCCAGCCTGGAGTTCCGTACCTGCCACGCTCATCCAGGCTTCAAGTGAACTGCCCTTGACAAATGCCGAGTAATTCAGTTCTTTATTATAAAAATCTCAAAAACGTCAGCCTTAACTGGAAACCAACCTGCTACGATGGGACCAAAGGCAATCCTGAAACCTAAACTCCTTTTAAATGAGGAAATAATGCTAACCCCACCCAGAAGTTACTTCCTAGCCTTCACGTGCAGAAGACAGTCTGCATCCTTAGGAAACGGGGGAATATTCCTAGAACTCTAAACATCCACATCTACTACATTCAAGTCCACTGAAGAAAACAAAAGGATGAGAAAAACAGGAACAGAACAGAAAGAAAATGCACTTCACTTTCTATTAGGATAGGTATTCAAAGGTTGCTTCAAATTAAATACATTTTAGCCCGTATTCACACTAAGTATGATCTCTCTGCAGGCCTGGATGCAGCCCTAACTGTGACCCACAGCAGTGGACGCTCAGCCCTCAGTCACCCTGCCCAGGTGGGCACAGGTGAACACAGGTGGCCAAGGCTGAAGTGTCCTTTCCCTTTAATCTTATCTTCACCACATGTCACAGTTTCTAAAGTTCTAGGCCCACAGAGTTCTTTGAGGAATTAAAGCAGGAGGGGAAAAAGGGGGGAAGCCCACATCCATCCCTGAAGAGAAGGTCAGTCCATTCCCCAGGGTGTTCAGTCTCCCGACCAAGCCCAGTCAGCGTTCTCCGGTCTGAACATAGTCCTCTGTGACCTGGGACAGGGTGCTCAGATACTGCCAGCTCAGGGCCGCCAGGAGCATGACACACGACAGGTACAGGGGTGAGTAGTGGCTCCGAGAGATGAGCTGACAGTTGGGAAGACTCTGTGTCCTGATCGTGGAGATGATCTGCCTTGTTTTAGTAGAACATGGGTCGGAGTTGGGGATTCTGTGATAAATCTGTGGAAGAAAGAGAAGAAAATAGTCGTAGGAACTTTATAAACATCTGTGTTCACTTCTTACCACAACCTGAAACAGGTAGGCATTTTATGCCCATTTTACCAATGAGAAAAACTGAGGCTCAGAGAACACAAAAGCAATAGCCCAAAGTCACTCCACTAATAAGGCAGGATGTCAGCGGGGCCTGTGTGATCCCACGGGCCATCCTGGAGCAGCAGGGTGGCCCCCGAGAGCCCCACCCTCGGAACCTCGCAGAGCCAGTGACATCCACGTTGCTCACTGAGGCTACAGCAGAGCCACATGGAGGAGGAAACACACTGCACAGACCGGGCACGGGCACTCAGGAGAACGCGATGGACTCTGAGGTGTGCGCAGCAGGCGAGAACAAAGCAGGGCCCCCAAGAGTCACCCTGGAGGCCTCCCCGTCCCTGCACACCCTCCCCTCCGAAAGCTCCAGAATCCCCGCTGAACCCGGGCCTCCTCCCCAGGCCTGCAAACACTGCTCCTGCTTAGGTTAGGCCCTCCCACCGGAGCTTCAAAATCGAGCTCCTGCCTCTGTGTTCGAACCCTAAAGCCACGCACCTGCCCCACCACGCTGTCACCAAAGAGACCTACAACCCCTTCGGCGTGACAGCCTCGGGGGTTCCCTATCCCCGGCCGCGCGAGGCCTGAGCTCCCGAGCGTGCACCTGGCCCTGCCCAGGCCCCCCCCGCGCACGCCAGCAACAGCTGCCGGTGATCGTCTTGTGTGTGCGATGCTGCTGTTTCTGTTCCCTCCCCGCTCACACCATTCCCTCTGCCCCCGGGAACACTCCTCCCACGTGCCGTCGCCAGGCTGAGTGCCACCTCCACCCAAGTCTCGCCCTAGGTAGCTGTCTTCCATGGCACCCGGCCCGAATGCCCAGGTCGGGCCGAGGGCCCCCTCGGGTATATACTATCTCCCCGTCGCCCACGCCGGGCCAGCATCTGCACGTCGCCCTAAATGGACCGAAGGCCTGAAGGCACCACAGCTTCCTTGCCTTTCCATCTCCGGCCCAGCCCTGTGCCTGGCACAGAGCAGGCCTTCGATCAACGTTTCCTGCCTAAAACCAACCGACCCAGAGGTCGTTAAGGTGGGAAGCGACGGAGACCTGAGCCCAGACGGAGGCAAAGAGGATGAAGAGGACGGAGCAGGCATCTATAAAGTTATTATCTTCAATTTTTCCATTACACAATGGGTATGTTTTTCCCACAAACGTTCTCTTATATTCTTGACCCCTCACCCCAAAAAGCACAACTACAATTTAATATAGCGAGGAAATAAAAGAACATGCTGACAGGAACACGCCAATGACATCTGACATCTAACGCAATGCTACGAAGCACAGCTACAGAGAGAAGACCACGCGGAGAGAAACTATAATGTCTTCTCAAAAACTGTAGATGATGGAATTATGGTTATGAAAATAGGCAAAACAAAAAAAAAATCAAACTTCCCTTACATTATTCCCCCTCACTTTGCACTTATTAGCCTATACATATAAATGTACAAACCATCACATATTAATACATACATTAATGTAATATGATATACTAGTGTAGTTTATTCCTGGGTTTATTCCAGGAATGCAAATATTCTTCAATATACGCAAATCAATCAATGTCATAAACCATATTAAACTGAAGGAGAAAAACCATACGATCATCTCAATAGGGTCAGAGAAAGCTTTTGACAAAATTCAACACCCATTTATAATAAAAACCCTGCAGAACGTAAGCAGAGAGGGAACTTTCATCAACATAATTAAAGGCCATATATGACAAACCCACAGCCAACATCGTCCTGAACGGTGAAAAACCGAAAGCATTTCCACTAAGATCAGGAACAAGACAACGTTGCCCACTCTCACCACTCTTATTCAACATAGTTTTGGAAGTTTTAGCCACAGCAATCAGAGAAGAAAAGGAAACAAAAGGAATCCAAATCGGCAAAGAAGAAGTAAAGCTGTCACTGTCTGCACATGACATGATACTATACATAGAGAATCCTAAAGATACTACCAGAAAACTACTACAGATAATCAATGAATTTGGTAAAGCAGCAGGATACAAAATTAATGCA